AGTAGGAGGGAGAGAGAGGAAGAGAGAGAGAGGGAAACATCGATGTGAAAGGGACACATCGAGTGGCTGCCACCCGCACGACCAACCAGGGCCGGGGACAAACTGCAACCAAGGTACGTGCCCTTAGCGGGAACCGAACCCGGGTCTCTCTGGACCGCAGGCGGACGCTCTAACCGCTGAGCCAAACCGGCCAGGGCGAAAGGCAGAGTTTCAAACTGACCTCCCAAACATTTGAAGCACAAGCAATCAAGGAAAAGATTGTTCCCTTAACTACATCAGAAATAAATTTTGTTCATTACAAGTTACCATGTAGGAGGTGAGAAGATGAGTCAAACCAGGATAGGGTATTACCACATATACGTTAACAAAGGTTAGTATCTAAATACATTAAGGCCTTTTTTAAAAAAGTGAAGAAGACAATCCAACAGAAATATAAGCAGAATTCATGAACAGAAGAGGAAAATGAGAAGTCACCAACTTACGGGAAGAGGTTTGATCTTCCCGTAAGGGAAGCACAAGTTAAAGCACGTGAGATTTACACCCGTCAGCTTGTCAAACATGAAAACTGCCCGCAGCAGCTCAGCATTCGGAGCAATGACTGCCACCTGCTCCTCCGACTGCGTGAGTGCAACTTTGGAGAACATTCTGGGTGTTGCCTGTAAGGTTGCGCAGTCACCCGACCTCTGGACCATTGAGTCTCCTGTTAATCATACAAGGATGTCCCAGCAACGCTGGGTGGCAGAAGGCACAGGTTACCCATCAACAGTAGGAGAGGTTCACGTGTGTGTGTGTGTGTGGGGGGGGAGTTTTAATCCTCACCCGAGGACATTTTTGCATTTGTCTTCAGATAGAGCAGGAGGGAGAGAGGGAGAAAGAGAGAGAGATATCAATGTGAGAGAGACACATCAAGTGGTTGCCACCCACCAACCAGGGCCGGGGACAAACTGCAACCAAGGTACGTGCCCTTAGCAGGAACCGAACCTGGGACTCTCCGGTCCACAGGCCAACACTCTAACCACTGAGCCAAACCGGCCAGGGCATGTGTGTGTTTTTAAGTGGAATGCCATACAGCAGTATGAACTAGGGTTGCATGCATGACACAGGTGAATCTCAGCTGTAACTTGAATAGAAAAAGCAAATCACACCCCTGGCCAGTTTGGCTCAGCAGTTAGAGCATCGGCCTGCGGACCAGGGAGTCCCTGGTTCGATTCTGGCCAAGGGCATGTACCTTGGTTGTGGTTCGTCCCTGGTCCCGGTTGGGGTCATGCAGGTGGCAACCAATCAATGTGTCTCTCTCACATCGATGTTTCTCTCTCTCTCACTCTGTCTGAAAGATAAATGTAAAAATATCCTCGGGTGAGGATTTAAATAAAAAAGGCAAATCAATCACAGAACACAGCAAAATTTACAGAATGTATGATTGAGGGGAAAATGGAATAAAAGCACAGGATTGAGGGCTATTTCCCCAGCCAAGGTGCAGTCGTACTAACTCTTAAGCTGGGTGATGGTTGTATGTATGTTTTTATTGATTTTAGAGAGAGAGAAACATCAACATCGGGGATGGGGATGGAGCCCACAACCTGGGCATATGCCTAACTGGAACGGAACTGGCGATCTCTTGGTGCATGGGTCGATGCTCAGCCACTGAGCCACACCAGCCAGGTGTCTTACTCTTCCTAACATATACTAGATATTTTTATGGGTACTTACTACGTGCTAAGCACTTGATCTGCATTTCTTCCCATTCAAAACAGCAACACTAAGAGCAGATACAGTCCAGAGCTGGGCGCCATTGGCTGTGGCCCCGGCAGAACCCTGTGGACACAGGCTGGGTGCCAATCCAGGCACTGACTCCTTCTGCCTTCCCATAGGTGCTGAAGTCCACTGGGGATGTGGCCGGAGGCCGGGCCCTGTATGAGGGGTATGCGGCGGTCACTGATGCTCCCCCCGAGTACTTCCTCACCCTCAGGGACACGGTGCTGCTCCGCAAGGAGTCTCGGAAGCTCATCGTTCAGCCGAACACTCGCCTCGAAGGTAATGGATTCCTGAGCCCCCTTTGGCGAGGGCCTTGCAGCCCTAGGGAGTACAGAGGCCTGGAACTGACCAGGTGGTCGAGGAAGGCTACCTAGGGTGACATCTACCTCTCTCCCTGCCACAGTCCTCCCTATGCGAAACCTCAGGCCAAAACCTTGGCATCTGCCACCACTACCATCACCACCACCATATACATGGTTACGCTGGTTGTAAGATGGCAACAGAAGGTTTGAGAAAGGCCAGCAGAGCCAGGGCTAGTGGAACAGACAGACCCCACGAAGGCCAGGCATGGTACTGGAGAATCAGACCTCGCCCTGGGACCTAGCTGGCCAAGTGGAACCCAGGGAACAATGTGACTCAGCAGAGCCCAGGCAGAGATTAGCAGCCCCGTGGCCCCTCTCCCTTCTCCAGTGATGCTTCCATTCCCTGAAGCCCTGAGTCTCTCCAGTGCACTTGGATTTTTTTTTTATCCTCACCCGAGGACATTTTTCCATTTTTTTGTTCAGATAGAGTGGGAGGGAGAGAGAGAGAAACATCGATGCGAAAGGGACACATCGAGTGGTTGCCACCCACACGACCCAACCAGGGCTGGGGACAAACTGCAACCGAGGTATGTGCCCTTAGCAGGAACAGAACCAAGGTCTCTCTGGACCGCAGGCCGGCGCTCTAACTGCTGAGCCAAACCGGCCAGGGCGCACTTGGATCTTTTTAACTAGAAGCTCTTGGGGTCCCAGCACCTGCTGATTTACTTTCCCTCACGACTGTCTCCTGACATTTGGCCCACGAGGCACCTATGAAGAGGCAGTGCCAGTCCATGGTTAGAGCATGAGCTTCAGAATTGCTTCGTGACCTTGTCTCTGTCACGTGACTATTCTGGGCTTGGGTGTCTTCATTCATAAAGTTGTGTGTTGTGTGTTGACGCTATAGTGAACCTGAATTAAGTATTTCCTTCAAGTTCTAAGTGCTTCCCATGGACTAACCCTTTAAATCCTCACAATAATCCAATGAGATGGGTATTTTTTTTTTAATCCTCACCCGAGGACATTTTTGCATTTTTCTTCAGATAGAGCAGGAGGGAGAAAGGGAGGAAGAGAGAGAGAAACATGGAAGTGAGAGAGATACATCAAGTGGCTGCCACCCGCACGACCCCAACCGAGGCTGGGGACAAACTGCAACTGAGGTACATGCCCTTAGCAGGAACTGAACCCGGGACTCTAGTCCACAGGCCGACGCTCTAACCACTGAGCAAAACTGGCCAGGGCAAGATTGGTATTTTTATTACCCTATTTTCCAGATAAGGTAATTGAGGCACAGAGAGTAAATTACTCAAGGCTTACAGCTTTATACTGGAGGAGCCAAGAGTCAAATTAAAAGTGTTTCCTGTGGCCCTGGCCGGTTTGGCTCAGCGGTTAGAGCATTGGCCTGCGGTCTGGAGAGATCCGGGTTCGGTTCCTGCTAAGGGCATGTACCTCGGTTACAGTTTGTCCCCGGCCCTGGTTGGTTGTGCGGGTGGCAGCCACTCTATGTGTCTCTTTCACGTTGATGTTTCTCTCTCTCTCTCTCTCTCCCCCTCCCACTCTATCTGTACAAAAAAATGGAAAAATGTCCTCGGGTGAGGATAAAAAAAAAAAAAGTGTTTCCTGTGCCCTGGCCGGTTTGGCTCACAGTGGACAGAGATGAAGCAGTTGCTGGACTGTAAGCTCCTGGAGGCCAAGGACTGTGTCTGTTTCACCTCACATGGCACCTGGTGTAAATCTTTTATTAAGTGAATGAATGAATGCAGCAATTCATTAAATATTCCCCCTCTAATATTTCCTACCTCATGGGGTTTTTGTAAGGATGAAATTAGATAATAAACCTAAAACATTGGACACAATTTTTGGCACATGCTAAGAGCTCAGGAAGAACTAGCTGCTGGGATGATGATGATGGTAGTGATGATTCTGCTTCCCCATTAACACCTTTCCCTGCTGCTGTTTTCTCTCCATCTCCTCCCCAGGCTCAGAAGTGCAGCTTCTTGAGTACGAGTCCTCGGCTGCTGGCCTCATCCGATCCTTCTCCGAGCGCTTCCCAGAGGATGGGCCAGAGTTGGAGGAGGTTCTCACCCAGCTGGCCACAACTGATGCCCGGTTCTGGAAGGATCCCAGGGAGACCCCATCTGGCCAGGCTTGAAGCCGATTTGTACAGCCCCTCCCCCGACTCCATCAAAGCAAGGCTGCAAGTGGCCCCCTTCTTATATGTGCATTAGGGCTAGGGGAGGGGCAGGAGCTGGGCCTTGGTGCTACCTCAGCTGAGGGTGGTGACACTAACTCCTTCCATTTGTCAGCACTTTCCACTTTACCAAGTACTTTCCTGTGTTATCTCATTTGATCTGTGCTGCCCTCTGTGGAGTGGGCAAGGCAGGATGCCTTATCCTGCTTCCCAGAGGAGGAAATGGAAGTTCTGAGAACTGACCTGGCTAGAGCCTGCAGGACTCAAAACCTCTGCCTGTCCAGTGCTCTTCATGTATTACTTTTATAACCAGAAAAATAAATATTAGAGACAACCACCATCTTTACGGTTTAAATGATTTCTCCTTGTCGTCACCTCACTTCTCTTTTGCTCCTGGCAGGGGAGTGGGATCAAGGCCTGGGGAGGGGGCAGGAGGGGCATTTTTAGGCTTCCATCCACAACGGGATGGTGACATCACCTCGGAAGATTCAAACACAGTAACAAAAATGAACATAGCACAATTTTTGCGGTCCTCTTTTGTGGCATTTCTTGTATTTTGAAATAGTCCAGGAGCCTAAAAACTGGAAGCCTGCAACTTCAGTCAGAATCCTAGGATTTAATTTTTCGAGCCTCATGTTTTGTTTTTCTGAGCCTGGACCTTTTAGTGCGGTGGGAAGAATGGACATGGCCCCTTTTCAACCTGAAGAGGGGACCAGTTACTTTTGCGGCTCATAAACCCTGGAAGGGCTCCTTTCCAGGCTTGAAGCCAAAGCGCCCAGCCACTGACCCAGAGATTACAGGGCCCAGATGCTGCGGCTGGGAAGGAGCAAAGATAAATCGCCTGAGCTGGGATGAGGGATTGCGCTTCAGCCGGCAGAAACCCAGCAAAGAAGCCAGCTCGTCCTGCGTCCTGCGTAGCGGGGCTTCTCAGGCTCGGGGCGGAAAGCTGCGCGCCCGGAACCTTTGTACGCGGGCTTTTGGGAACCCGGAGCTCTTGGGTGTCGCGCGCGGCGGCTGGCCATAGCTGGTTGCCAGGGCGACGCCTGCGATGATGGCTGCTGCGTCTTCGTCGGATTCCGACAGCGGCAAAGCGGAGAGGTGAAGGCCGGGGTCCTCTAGGTCTCCTTTCGTAGAGATGTGAAGAGGGTGCCCTGGTCCCCGGGCTCCGGGCTCCTCTTGAACAATGCTGGCTTTCCTCGAAGGGCTCTTAGAGATCCAATAGGGAAACTGAGGCCCAAGCAGTGTGTGTGTGTGTGTGTGTGTGTGTGTGTGTGTGTGTGTGTGTGTCTCGGTCGCGCCAGTGGTTGAGCCTGGACTTGGACCCAGACCTTCTACACACCTCACTCTCAGAGACCAGCTCCCCCCAAGTTTTCTTCCCCTCCCTTGGTACTCACTCCCCGACCCGCCCCCTCCTCTCGCAGCAACGATGCCAGTTCGAAATGGCTGGATGCGCACTACGACCCCATGGCCAACATCCACACCTTTTCCGCCTGCCTGGGTGAGTCTGGAAGCTGGGATCTCGGGTTGTGGGGACATGGAGGAGTGAGATAACGGTTCTGTAGTAAAGCTCTGGGATTCTGAGACACTGGCTTTCGGCCCGTTTGTGTTTTCCAGCGCTGGCAGATTTGCATGGGGACGGGGAGTACAAGGTAAGGTATCACCCCAGCAGAAAGAGAATTGGGGAAAAAATAACAGAATTCAGGTTTCCTTATGGCTCCAGAGAAACTCAGCATAATCTGGAATTCATGACTACTCTGAAAAACACGCTTAGCGTTAAATTGTATCTGGTGAAGAGATCCCATCGGTTCCATAATACAGACCACAGCAAGTAAAGCAGAACAATTTTACTGGGGATTTTACTAAGACAAAGCCTCTTAATTTTGTTAACTTGACATAATTCATTGCTGAAAGGGCAGGCACATTCCTTGGTTCCACATGAGGTGTCAGAATCTGAAGGGGAAGTAGAAGGGAATTGCAGTGACTTTTATGTTTATCAAAAGGACATAGGTTTTAAGAATAGCCATGAGCTGATAGTTGTTGAAGCTAGATGATCAGTATTTGGGGGTTCTGTCCACTTTAGTAAATGAGTGGAAACTTTCCATAATAAAAAGGTTTAAATTTAATTTTAAATATAAACTAAAAATAAATCATTTTAAAGGCACAGATTTTTTTTTTTAATCCTTACCCGAGGATATTTTTTTGTTATTCTTCAGATAGAGTGGGAGGGAGGGAGAGACAGAGAGAGAGAGAGAGAGAAACATCGACGTGAGAGGGACCCATCTACTGGTTGCCTCCCACACGACCCCGACCAGGTTGGAGGCAAACCGCAACCGAAATACATGCCCTTGACTGGAATCGAACCCAAGATTCCTTGGTCCACGGGCCAACAGTCTAACCACTGAGCCAAACCGGCAAGGGCAAGGGCATAGATTTTTTTTATTTTGTATTTATTTATTTATTTTTTAGTCCTCACCTGAGGACACTTTTTTTTTTTAAGAGAGAAGGGAAGGGAGCAAGAGAAACATTGATGTGAGAAATATCAGTCGGTCTCTTACATATATGTCTGACCGGGAAACAAACCCACAACCTAGATATGTGCCCTGACCGGGAATCAAACCCATGACCTTTCAGTATATGGGGTGACCCTTCAAGCAACTGAGCCACACCAGGCAGGGTTATGCCCAGTTTTTTTTTTAGGTTGAAAAATTATATTGGGCTAAAGAAAGGAAGTTAACATATATTAAGTATCCATTTCTGGAGTAGACCTTCTTTGAGGCATTTTCACATATATAGATAGTATTGATCCTCGTTTTGTTAATGGGAAAATAGATCCAGAGAGGCTAAGTTTACTGAGTTTGTTAAAAGTGGCAGACTTGGGTCTGTCAAATTCCAAGTTATGTATTCATTCCACAATATACCTCAACCTTTGTCACAGGCAGTGAACCCATAGTGGGCGTATTAGGTGGGCAACTAAAGGATAGTCCTGGAATCATACCATACATGGAAAGTGCAGTAGGATTTGGTGCCTCCCCCCCCCCCAAATTTCTATCTATAAAGCATTTAGTAATTCAACAAGCAAACAGTGAACCCTTACTGTGGCAAGCATTGTGCAGACACTAAACTCAGAAATGAATCAGTATAGAGTGGGAGGAGATATAGACACTGTCCTTAATTCATCCATGATATTGACTCGACACCTAGTGTGTGTTTGGCATTGGGTTTACGGCAGTGAAGGGTAGAGAAATCTGACCCACTAATGAATGTGGAATAGTAAATGCTTTGGTGTGATAATTTTTTTAAAAATGTTTTTATTGATTTTTTTTAGAGAGAGATAGAAACATCAGTGAGAGCCCAGCCAGTGTGGCTCAGTGGTTGAGCATTGACCCATGCACCAAGAGGTCTCCAGTTCGATTCCTGGTCAAGCCACATGCCCAAGTTGTGGGCCCAATCCCCAGTGGAGGGCATGAAGGAGGCAACCAATCGATAGTCTCTCTCATTGATGTTTCCATCTCTCTCTCCCTCTCCCTTCCTCTCTCTTTAAAATCAATAAAAGAAAAAAAAGAAACACTGATGAAAGGGAAACATCAATCAGCTGTCACCTGCTCAGCCCCCACTGGGGACTGAGCCTGCAACCTGGGCATGTGCCCTGACCGGGAATCAAACCGGAATTTCTCAGTCCCTGGGATGATGGTCAATCTACTGAGCCACACTGGCTGCGCATATAACTTTTTCAATGGCTAGTTTGTTTACTGTTGATTCCCAGCATCTAGCCCAGTGCCTGGTACAAATTAGGTACTTGGTAAATATTTGTGGGGTAAATGAATGGGTGCTAAAAAAGAATATATGGAAAGTATTATGGGAGCACCAGTGGGAGAAGAATGAAACCTATCTGGAGGCACCAGGAGGCAGTAACCTGTGAACTAGGTGTTGGAGAGAGGAAGGGGAAGGCAACCCACTATCACAAGCAGAGGCACAGAGGTTTGGAAGTTCACAGCATGTTTGGAGTTAGAAGTTGAGGCCAGTGTGAAATAGTGGTTAAGACCATCAGCTCTGGATTCAGACCGACCTAGGTTCCAGTTCCAGCTCTACCACTTACTAGCTGTGTGACTTTGACCTAACATCGCTAAGCCACAGCTTCCTCATTTGTGAAAAGGGGCTAATAATAGCACTTGCCTCATAGGTTGTTGAGAGGATTAAATGAAATTCCTGGTGTAGCTCCTGGTACACTGTACATGCTCAGAATCCAGACGTTCTTTGGCGTTCCCATTCTGGCTGGAGCATAGCATGGATGGGGAGGTGATGGAAAACAAGTTGGGAACCAGATCAGCGGGGTCTTGAAGGCCTGTCAGCCGCAGTGGCTTGGAGGATGGGTTGGAGGGTGTAAAACAGACTGGCCTTGGCCAGGTGGCTCAGTTGGCTGGAGTGTCATCCCATACACCAAAAGGTTGTGAGTTCAATTCTCCGTCAGGGCACATACCTAGGTTGCAGGTTCAACCCCAGGTTGGGGCGCATGCCATGGCTGGGGCATCTGATCAGTGTTTCTCATATAAATGTCTCTCCCACAACTCCGTCCTCTATCCTTGGATGACGATTAAAAAAAAAGAAACAGAGACCGAAGAGTTTGGTTGTGGTCTCTGCATCCACAGCACATTCTGCTCTGCATGCTTGCTTCTGCTTCCTTAGCTCTGTTCCCACTTGAAAGGCAGGTGTCAAAAGCCCAAGTATGAGCTTCCAGTGCCCCAATGACCTCAGCCACTGTCCCGATGTCTAGAACAGTGGCTGGCATGGAGCAGGCCCTGAAATGTTTACTGAGTGAATAATGAAAACATCAGCTGCCACCTACTCCTCCTAGCACTCAGCAGGTTCTGTAACTCATTATCTCATTGGATTTGCACGACGAGTGTCATGCAATTGATATTCCCATTTTGCTGGTGGGAAAACAGGCTCAGGAAGTTTAATCAACTTTCCCACGGTCACAGAGCTAGCCAGGCTTATTGCAAAGCATTTGTTGTCGTGCCCCCAACCCCGCCACCCCAGTACTGGTGTGGGAGTGAATGAATATACATTAGCAAAACGACTGAGCCCGAGAAGAGGGTCAGTGGCAAGGTCTTTAGACTTTGAGCCTGAAATAAGCCAGCCTCTCTCTACAGCTGGTGGTGGGGGACCTTGGCCCAGGTGGGCAGCAGTCCCGCCTGAAGGTGTTCAAAGGACTCAGAGTACTGACTGAAAGCCCACTACCTGCACTACCAGCCGCTGCTGCCACCTTCCTCATAGACCAGCACGAGCCCCGAACACCAGCTCTAGCATTCGCTTCAGGCCCTTGTGTGTATGTGTATAAGAATCTTAGGCCCTACTTCAAGTTCAGCCTGCCCCAGTTGCCTACAAATACCCTGGAACAAGATCTTTGGAACCAAGCCAAGGAGGTAAGTGATGTGGGGATGGGAACAGGAAGGCAAAAATGGCTCATCCTCCTTCTCTGCTTGGCTCTGGAGCTCACAGGCTTTACCTTCTTCCCATGCTGTCACAGGACCAGATTGACCCCTTGACCCTGAAGGAGATGCTGGAGGGCATCCGGTGAGAGCCTACTTCCCCTTCATATGCCTCCCACCCCTCCCTCCTCCCCGACTTTCATCCCAGAACTCTTGGTTTGACCCCAGGGCCCTGTTCCTTAACTAAACCTGCCATGATCACCCCTCTCCTTACAGGGAGAAGGCAGACGTGCCTTTGTCTGTACAGTCACTCAGGTAAGGGACCTCTGGAGGGCCAGGGATCTGGAAGCTCCAGGGGGAAGGGAGTGGCAGGCCTGCCCAGGGCATGCAGCTGCCAGGTCTCTCTGTCCAGGTTTCTGCAGCTGGAGCGGAGTGAAATGGAGGCATTTGTGAACCAGCACAAGTCCAAGGCCATCAGACGTCAGGTAGTGTCCCTTCTCTTTTTATTTTCCCAGAAAAATATGGATATACTTTTTAAATTATTTTTTAATCCTCACCTAAAGATATTTTTTTCCATTCATTTTTAGATAGAGTGGGAAGGAGGAATGGAGAGAGAGAGAGAGAGAGAGAGAGAGAGAGAGAGAGAGAAACATTGATGTGAGAGACACATCGATTGGTTGCCTCCTACATCACCCTGACTGGGGCCAGGATCGGACCTGCAACCAAGGTATGTGCCCTTGACTGGGAATCGAACCTGTGACTCTTTGGTTCTCAGGCCAATGCTCTAACCACTGGCCAGGGCTGAATATATTTTTTTAAAACCATGTAGCACCCAGCTGATGTAGCTCAGTGGTTGAGTATCAACCCATGCACCAAAAGGTCGCTGGTTCGATTTCCAGTCAGGGCACATGCCCAGGTTGTAGGCCAAATCCCCAGTGGGGGGCATGCAGGAGGCAGCCAATCGATGTTCTCTCTCATCAATATTTCTATCTCTCCCTCTCCCTTCCTCTCTCTAAAATCAAGAAAAAAAAGTAAAACAAAACAAAAACCATGTAACGTCAGTGGTAAGTTCTACAACCAAACCTGACTAGTTTCACTTTTCACTTTCCTTTCCAATCCATGCTATATATATATGGTCACAAAGCTGCAGGCCCTTCTACATTTACAGTTAACAGTGTCAGCTTTGAATTTATCTATAATGATATAACTTTATAGAACTTTTATTGTCTTGAGGGTAAAGGTAATATATTCTCATTAGAGAAAATTTGGAAAATAAAAAGAAGTATAAAGGAGAAATAAAATTGACTACAATCTCACTGCCGAGAGGTACTTGCTCTTATTATTTTGGTACAATTCCTTCATAAATATGCTTTTATATCCTGCTTCCCTTGAGTACATAACATTATATCTTGAGTAAATAGTCTTTAAGAACTCCATTTTTAGTGGCCCTTTGATTGTTTCATTGATTATTCATTATTTCATTCAGAGTTTATGTAACTACTCACATGCAGGTCATTGAACAAGAAATATGTCCCTTTTATACACTTCATAATTTTTTTCTTTGTTATACTTTTAATGGCTTTATTGATTAACCCATTGACTGATGAACTCCAGTGGTTCCTGACCTAGGGGCTGACTCGTAGTCAGGGACAGATTCCTAGAGCAGTTCTCTGCATTCTAGAAAGCCTCATGGGAGCCCTCCACTTCCTGTAGAGGTCACTTGAGCCAAACACGTTGACCAATGTAATCCTCTGCTTTCGGCTAGTCTTAGACCAATGCTGTGAGAAACATGTTCTCTCCTGCTGATCAGCACTCAGACCCACAGTTGTCAATATCTCCGAGTACTTCTACAATCAGGAAGTGAATGAATTATTGCTCAAAAGATGCAGTTTGGGGGTGGGAGCAGTCTTTCTAAGTGTGTGTCATGGTTACATGATTGGGAACCACTAAGTTCCACACTTCTGTAACCTTTCTCCTTCCACTTAGCATTGAGAATGATTTCTCTTGCCCTGGCCGGTTTGGCTCCGCGGTTAAAGCATCGGCCCATGGACCAGAGAGACCCGCGTTAAGGGCACATACCTCGGTTGCGGTTTGTCCCCGGCCCCAGTTGGGGTCCTGTGGGTGGCAACCAGTCGATGTGTCTCTCTCACATCGATGTTTCTCTTTCTCTCTTCCGCCCTCTCTCCCTCCTGCTCTATATTTAAAAAAAGAGAGAGAGAGAATGATTTCTCTTTGTTGATCTTAAAGATAATCACACACTGAGCAGCTTTATTCAAAGAAACATTTTGGTCCTGCTAAAATATTTCCATGGGAGAAATTCCTAAAAAAGGGATCATCATCCCCTTCTCTCTCTTTTTTTTTCTCTCTCCAATCACAATTACAAAAGGAACATGTGCCCATTGTAGAAATGACAGAAAAGTGCAATGAAGAAATTAAACATCACCCATGATCTCGTTGTCCAGAGAGAACCAGTGTTTGTATTTAAGGGTTTGGCCTTTCAGCTTGTTTTTCTATTCATCTATTTTCTTTCTTTTTATCCTCACCCGAGGACATTTTCCCATTTTTTTGTTCAGGTAGAGTGGGAGGGAGAGAGAGAGAGAGAAACATCAATGTGAAAGGAACACATCGAGTGGCTGCCACCCGCACGACCGACCAAGGCCGGGGACAAACTGCAACCGAGGTACGCGCCCTTAGCGGGAACCGAACCCGGGTCTCTCAGGACCGCAGGTCGACGCTCTAACCGCTAAGCCAAACTGGCCAGGGCTATTTATCTATTTTCTTAAACTGGGATTATACTAATGTAACTTTTTACCTATGTTTTCCTCTTAATACAACAGAAGTATTCTCCCTGTCATTGAATCTTCTTTTAAAATGTGTTTTTTAAATGGCTGCATGATTTAGGATAATATGGATAGTTCATAATTGGCTTAGACAATCCTCCTCTGTCAGAAAGTTAGGTTTGTTGCTATAGGTACCTTCGTACATAAACCTTTTGCATCTCTGATATTCTTCCTCCTGTTTTACTTTCTTTATTCCCCCTGGGGTTGCCTGGGGGAAATGGTCTGTGGATCCCCGGTGACCCCTGGAGTCTTTCTGCAGACAGTCATCACCACCATGACCACCTTAAAGAAGAACCTGGCAGACGAAGATGCTGTGTCCTGCTTGGTGCTAGGCACTGAGAACAAGGAGCTCCTGGTGCTAGACCCAGAGGCCTTCACCATTTTGGCCAAGGTCAGTGTGGGGCCTGACACTTGGCACACCTGAGGCCTAGGCTGCATTTTGTTTCTCTGTTCCCCCACATTTCCTATACCCAGTTCTTGGTAATACACGTTCATTGTAGAGAAATTATAAAATACAGATAAGCATCCAGAAATCCCACCACCCACAGATACCTACTATTAAAGTTTCATCATATGTCTTTCCTGACATTTTCATATTTCAACACAGTAACTATATGTATTTTTTTATAAAAACGTCGTCATGGTGCAGAATCACGTAACCTGCTCTTTTCACGTAGCGGTAGCTCATCAATGTCTTTCCGCATCTATATAAAACCACATCCACCTTTTCAAAGGCCACACAGTATCCATTTTATAAAGGTGTCGTCATTTATTTATGGTCACCTATTGTAGGTTTAGGTCATTTTCCGTTTTCATTATTACACCACTGCAATAGGCTTTCTTGCCCAAACGTCTTTGCATGCTTGTCAAAATATTTCCCAAGTTGCATTCCTACAAGTGGCGTAGTTTAGTCAAGGGCTTGTGCTACGTGTTGCCAAGTTTCCCTCCAGGAAAACGACGAGTTTGAACTGACTTGCTGGGTATGAGTGAGGAAGTTGGGACTTCAGACAAGGAACCAACTTGGAGGAGGAGGTTCCTTCAAGGTAGGGGAGGACTGGGGCTCCAGAGAAATCAGCATATTTGAACCTCTTCTTTGCAGATGAGCCTCCCCAGCATCCCCGTCTTCCTGGAGGTTTCTGGCCAGTTCGACGTCGAGTTCCGGCTTGCCGCTGCCTGCCGCAACGGGAACGTGTACATCCTGAGAAGGTAGCCGCACGTGGTCTCTGCGGTCAGAAGGAACAGCTCAGATACCTGGTGGTCTCAGGGGTTTGAAAGATGAGCAGGGGGCTGGGGTTTGGGAATGGAAAGAGCTGAGAAGTTCACGTAGGAGGCCAAACCCAGGAGCATAGGGAGTCGCTAGAGGCCTGTGTGAGGAGCTGGCAAAGTGCGAGACCAGGCTGGGTGTCTGTAACCTATGAGCAGTGCAGTCAGAAGTTGGAAGAAATAAAAAAGTCTCTCATATTTGTTATATTGCTTTATAGGTCCATGACCCGTCTCAGTGCGGCAGTTTGATATTCCTTACAACACTCATTTTTTAATTCAGAAATGTTTTTGAGTACCTACTTAAGCATTATACAAGGTATTAATGAACAGAATAAACATAATTCCTGCCCTCATGGGAAGATAGATATTAAAGTCAACAAACCAAGATAACATTGCAAATTGGATGCATGCAGTGAAGGAAAAATACAGGCTCAATGGAAAAATAATGAAATCAGAGTGATCAGCAAACGCCTGTCTGTGGAAATGACTCGAAGGCGAAGAAGGAATCAGTTATTCAAAAAGGACAGAAAGAGTGTTGTGGGCAGGGAGAACTTCAGCAACGTCAAGATGGGGAAGACACTGGCACGTGCCACTCACGGATGCTGGGCAAGGAGGGAGGGGACAGGAATGATATGGAGACCAGATGGGCTCATGCAGGACCCACTAGGATGTGGTCAAGATTTTGGATTTTATCTGAAATCTAGGGGAAAACTGCTAAGGGATTTTAATCAGAAGCATGACATGATCCATTTACATGTAATCCTTACCTGAGGATATTTTTCTATTTATCTTCAGACAGAGTGGGAGGGAGGGAGGGAGGGAGAGGGAGAGAGAGAGAGAGAGAAACATCGACATGAGAGGGACACATCAACTGGTTGCCTCCCACACGACCCTGACCAGGGCCAGGACAAACCACAACTGAGGTATGTGCCCTTGGCTGGAATTGAACCCGCAACTCATTGGTTGGTGGGCTGACGCTCTACCACTGAGCCAAACCAGTCAGGGCCATTTATGTATTTAAAGATTACTGTGGGTGGAGGATAGATTGGCAGGAGGCCCAGAGCCCAGCGGGAGGCTCTCAGCTGGGATCTGACATTGGCCTAGACTTGGTGATGAAGAAAAGTGGACTATAGCCTGTGATTGGTAGGCAGGAACTTCCCTTACTTTCTAGGTAAGAAAAACTAAGATTCAGAGGCCAGGAAACAGAAACAGTACATTTACACAGAGCAACTCCCTGCTTTTCTGATAAATGATTAACCTGCCTAGGTCCGCTTGCACCTTGTCTAGCTTTTCTCACTGTGAACGGTTAACTGCCACGTTATCCTACAGATCACTGTAGTAAAGGCGGCAGGGAGACCAAGAAGAACACACTTCATGTTATCCAAGGTCTCACAGCTGCAGGTGGTGCAGGTGAAAATAATACCATGGTCATCTGCTTTGAGCCAAGGTTCCTTCCAGGATAGTCTGTGGGGCTTAGGAAGAGGAAGGCCTGCCTGGCCAGTTTGGTTCAGAGGTTAGAGCGTCGGCCCTTGGACTAATGAGTCACAGGTTCGATTCCGGTCAAGGGCACATACCTTGGTTGCTGTTCATCCCCGGGCCTGGTCAGGTCATGAGGGAGGCAACCAGTCGATGTGGCTCTATCACATCTATGTTTCTCTCTGTCTCTTTCTCCCTCTCCCTCTCCCTCTCTTCCACTCTATCTGATGATAAAAAAAAAAAAGAAGAAGAAAAGGAAGGCCTTGCCCAGCTGGTGTGGCTCAGTGGTTGAGCGTCAACCCATGCACCAAGAGGTGGCTGGTTCGATTTCTGGTCAGGGCACATGCCCAGGTTGTGGGCCAGATCCCCAGTGGGGGGCATGCAGGAGGCGGCCAATTGATGTTCTCTCTCATTGATGTTTCCATCTTTCTCTCCCTCTCCCTTCCTCTCTCTTTAAAATCAATAAGGAAAAAAAAAAAAAGAAAGAAAGAAAGAGTAAGGCCAGCCGGAAAGGAGAGAGGGTTTCTCTGGGCTGGGAAAGTTTGTCTTTATTCCACAGAGACTCCAAGTGCCCCAAGTACTGCATCGAGCTAAGTGCCCAGCCTGTGGGGCTTGTTCGGGTAAACAAGGTCCTGGTGGTGGGCAGCACCCAAGACAGTCTGCATGGCTTCACCTACAAGGTATGGCCTCCGGGCAAGCACCCTGCCCCCCCCACACAGGTGTCGCCCAAGTTCCCCTTAGCAGGCGAGCCCTTCTGGCATCCCCTTCCCAGCAATTCCAGCCACCGCCCCTTCTAACCCCTGAGCCCCCTGCAGACTTGGCTGATCCCTCCCAGGGTAAGAAGCTGTGGACGGTGCAGATGCCTGCAGCCATCCTGACCATGAACCTCCTGGAGCAGAGCTCCCGGGGCCTGCAGGCTGTCATGGCTGGACTGGCCAATGGAGAGGTCCGCATTTACCGTGACAAGGCCCTGCTCGACATCATCCGCACCCCGGTGAGCCCTGACTCCTTGCCCCACTCCCACCTCCAGGGCTGCTTAGCTGCCTCCTGATTCCACTCCATCCGTCACCTTTGACTTTAATGAATTTAAAACACATTTGTTGAAAACCTCATATGCACAGCTTATTGTATTGGGGTGGGGGATAAAACAGTGACTAAATCCTTGCCTTCAGGGAGCTTAACATCCAAGGTTACAGCCAGCCAGAGACACAGCTAATTCAAACACCAGGCAGACAGAAGTAAAGTGCTGAAAAAGCAGAGCAGGCTGAGTATTGGGTGGTAGATAGATGGGGATGGAACTCGCAGGACACTTCATAGAGCAGGTGACAATTCAGCTGGGCCTCAAAGCAGTGTGCCAAGTGGAGAAATGGAGGAACAACATCCCAGGCAGGGAACTGCATGAAAAAAGGCTGAGAGGTACGAGTGTTCTTGATTAGGCAATCCAGGTGGTTTGATGAGTTTGGACCAGAGTTTTCCAACACTAAGTTGTGAGTCATTAAATCAATGTAGTGGGTCACAACCAGCAACATAAAAAAGAAAGTTCAGTGTATGTCACATGTGAAACTTGAATGTGTATGTATGTATCGTGTTCTATGTCACAGTAGAAAATTTGAAGGCAGGTGTTGTGTGGGTTGGGAGAAGGTAAAGAGTAGAGAACTGACAAAAGGCAGGTTAAATGTGGACAGGGAGGACAAAGCCATTGGAGGTTTTCTACAAGAGAATCGACACGATCGTGTTTATGTTTTTGAAAGTCAGCAGAGGCAGCCGTGAAGGACTGACTGAGAAAAAGGGTAGGCTGGGAAGCCTTTGGGAAGCTGACCCCAGGAGCCCAGGGCTGTCAGCCGGGGACGATGGCCCTGCAGTGAGGTTGGAAGCAGAGAACAGAGGAGCTGCTTCAGAGGCCGCATTGCCCCGGGCCTCACCCCGCACCTCACATCTCACCTATGATATCACGTCTGGGGTCCCACCCCCAGTCTTGCTCTCCTCTCTAAAATATTTTCCCCAATAAACTCTAGTGTCTCCACCATAGGATGCAGTGACCAGCCTTTGCTTTGGCCGCTACGGGAGGGAAGATAACACCCTCATCATAACTACTCGAGGTGAGAAGCGTCGGACCTGGCGAGAGTTTTCAAGTTGGGCGTGAAAGGGACGGGCAGATCCTGGGAAGAAGAAGAGGTGGACGTGAGGCACGGGAGGACCGGTGCGGAAAGCAGAGCCAGCGGACAGTGGGGACAGCTCACCATCGGTTTGATATCATGACCTCAGGGCCAGACCCTGGGCTGCATTGTGTCTCTAGTTTACTCAGTATTCCCAGCACCTGCCACAATGCCAGGAACACTACAGTACTCAGTACTGAATTAATAACTGTGAAATGAATGAACTAACTAATGGTAGGAGGTTATTTAGACAGACTTCATTCCTTCCAGAAGCTCAGTCTCGGCAGCAGATAGACATGTACAGAAATGGGTCTCCATGAGGCAGGTTATTTGGGGATGAAAGACTGGAACGTAGAGTGTGACTGGGGAGGACAAATCTGTTCCTGTCTGTCTACTTCCCTAGGCGGTGGCCTGATTATCAAGATCCTGAAGCGTACAGCAGTGTTTGTGGAGGGGGGAGGTGAGGTGGGCCCCCCACCAGCCCAGGCCACAAAACTCAGCGTGCCCCGAAAGACCCGGCTTTATGTGGATCAGACACTGCGAGAGCGGGAGGCTGGCACCGGTGAGACTCAGGCCAGACTCTTCCTCTTCCTCCACTGCTCTGAAGCAGCCAGAGCTGGATGGATGCTGCCTGGGGGCCCCGCTCAGTGGGAGGACACCTGGTGAACTGGGCCGGTTTTGTGCCTCTGGTAGTCCAGGGACAGCCTCGAGGTACATCCTGCCTACAGATGACTGTACCGCAGGTGGAAGGTTCTGTGGGTGAGGGCCGGAGCCCTGGGAATTCAGAGGAGGGAGTGGTCACTTCTAGATGGCAGGAATTCTTGTGAAAGAAGTTGACTTCCACCAAGGTTCTTCCTTTTCCTGTTCAGTCTTTCTGCTCATTCATTCATTCATTCAATACCCATGATTAGGCCAGGCCTTGTGCCAGGTGCCCTGAATTAGTTGCTACCTGAGCAGCTCAGTCTATCGCTAACTTCATGTTGCACGACAGCTGCAGAAAAGGTCTCTGCAAAGGGCTCCTGAGGCACGTAAGAGCATGTTTGCCTGGGAGCCTGGGGAAGGCTCCCGAGAGAGGTGATGTTGGACTTCACCCTGAAAGATGATTACATGTCCACCAGCCAGAGATGGGGAAGGGCGATTTAGGCAGAGGTTGGGGAGGGGCGCAAGGCCTACCTGGATTCAAGCAGCATTAGCCGTGTAGCTGTGGGTGCAGTGCAGGAAGGCCGAGCGTCCAGAGAGGAGGCTGGAAAGGCAGGCCAGAGCCAGCTTCAAAGGGCTTGGAATGCAAAGCTAAGATGTTTTGTTTAATTTCGGTATTGGGAGCTGGGAAAAATGTGAAGCAGAAAAATACAGTGTCAACCAGCTCTGTCTTTAAAAAGGATCTGGCTTGCAGTTCAAAGGTAAATTAAAGAATAAAGAAAATAACTAACAGACTATTGTAGCCCAGAGAACCCAAGAAAAGCAGTGGATATATGAGAGAAATAATTAAAGTTCTCTAAGGTGACCAAATGTAAAGTATGCAAAAATCAATTGCTTTTGTGTGTACTAACAGTAACCAGTTAGAAAATGTAATAGAAAGTTTCCATTCAGAATAGCAAAGAAATCCTTAGAAATAAACTTAACAAGAAGATGTACGAAGTCTGATCAAGGAAATTACAAAGTTGCTCAAGAACGTACAAGGCTACCTGAAGTGACGAGATTTCCCGAGTCCCAGGGCCACAAAACCTAATGTTGTAGTGCTGTGGGTCAACTAACAGCTTCTAAAATTAACCTAGAAACATAGCAAAGGGACAGTTCAGTCCCCCTGGGATTTATTTTGAGGACTTGACCAGTTGATTCTAACAGGAAAGCTGAGAAATTTGGGGGAAAGAAGGAGGGAGCCTGGCCCACTGGAATGGACTGAAGCCGTGGGGAGTCGGAGCAGTGATGGCCAGGCGGGAACTGACCCAGACCACCGCACGTCTGCGGAGTCCAGAAACAGCCCCTGTATAAGGGAACAGTCAGCGTATGTTTCAGGGGTAGTTTTAGATGCGTGGGGAAAGAAGAGACTGTCCACAGAACATAATTAGGACAACTTGCTTCTAGAAAAAAAATGTACAACTCTCATACCAAACAAAAATTAATTCTGGTAAATTAAAAATAAACTGTAAAAGTACTATAGGAAAGAAAAGAATAATAGATGGGATAACATAAAGATGGACAATTTGTGAATGGCAAAAAGCACCTCATAAATCAAGTCAGAGACAGGTTGGCAGACCACAGGAGTGAAGGAGGTGGCCTCTGGAGATGGCTCAGAGGACGAGTCATCCGATCCTGACAAATGATTAGATGTGAGGGGTGAGTCTAGGTGACTTGGATGGGGATGCTGTGACGGAGGAATGGAAATGAACTTGGTTTCTGCACTGTTGACTTTGAGGTGTTGATGGGACATCCAGGTGTAGGTGACCATTAGGCAGTTAGAAGCAGGAGGCTGTCCCAGGTGCTGAGCTGCTGACAACACCGTATCAAGTGTGGACACAGGCCAGGCCCTGAGGTGGGCACTGAGGACCCAGTAGTCACGAGTCCCTCACAGTTGTTCCTCTGGAGTGGTCACAGCTGGGGTAGGACATGGATTGTCCAGGGGAGGAAGACAGAGGAGGAGAAGAGGACCAAGGACAAGACTCAAGGGAACACCAGTTCTTATGTCGGAATAGAAGGAGCCAGCAAAGGACACGGGGTGCGGGCAGCGAGGTTTGGGAGAACCAGGCGGAGGGAGCCGGGAGTGGTCCAGCATCCAGTGTCATCAGAAGGCTGGGCTGTTGGACCTCGGCCCTCCCTTTCCCCACATTCCCAGCCTCTGCAGACCCTGCCCACTGTACCTTCCTCTTGCACTTCCCCAGACCCCTGTCCCCGACCCTTGCCTGCCCACCCCACCTCCAGCGTCAGCCCTTTGTCTTTCCTCAGCCATGCACCGGACCTTCCAGACCGACCTCTACCTGCTGCGCCTCCGGACCGCCCGCACCTACGTGCAGGCCCTTGAGTCCAGCCTGAACCCTGTGTCTGTGACAGCCCGGGAGCCACTGAAGCTGCATGCCGTGGTGAGCACCCAGGCGTGGGGGCAAGTCAGCAGCTCGGGGCCAGAGGGGCCGAGGTCAGGCGTGGGTGGGAACCCTTCAGCTCCAGAGCCAGTTCCAAGCCAACTAGGTCCTGTGCTCCACAGGCCCAGGGACCAAGTCTCATGTCCTGTGAAAGCGCTCTCACCTTCTCCTGGGCTGCCTCCCCACGCTGGCCACACAGGGACACTCTCCAACTCCCTCATTCCCCGCTGTGCCTCAGACAAGCCCCCAGACTTGGGGCAGGGCACACAAGTCGTCACCTTGGGATGTTTCTTCCCAGGAGCCTGGAGGGACTCTCCCTGCTATGGTGCAGGGACGAAAGCTGTTCATTTCAGTAACCGCGGCCCCAGGTGTTAGGACTGCCCGGTGCAGGAAAGGGGCCATCCTGAGGCTGACAAAGGCCCGAGGAGGAGGACGAGCCCACACACCCCGACACAAGTGGCCTCAAGGTCATCAGGGCTCCATCCAGCTCTCAGGGGGTCCCTGAGGTGGCCATCTGTCCCCGCTGCATTTCTGATTTCTCTTTCCCTAAAGAAGGTGGGTAGATACAGAGAGGAAGAAGCTACAGCGCAACTGAGAGTAAGAGGGAGGAAAATGAAATCATTGCAGCCACTGTAGGATGAGAGAGAGGTGGGCCAGGCCCTGGGAAGAGGGGCAGGGGCAGTGCTGAGGACGCAGGTGGGAGTTGGGGGCGTGTCCTGAGGCCAGCTCTGCCCCTGACCAACTTGATGAGTGGCCTCTATCAAGCCCCTTCCCCTCCTTGGGCCTTTGCTGACCCCTGTACCCACTAGAGCCAACCTTCTGGGCTTCTGTGCCTTTTGAGGGAGATGGACAGTGAGTTGGAACAGTTGGAGGAGGGTGACTTAAGGACAGTGATGAAGAAGCAGGCAGGCAGGGCCGGGCACATTGCATTCCATGCCCAAGACCACTAGGCCTAGGGTCTTTCTCCACCCACTCCACCCTCTCCACAGGTTCAAGGCCTGGGCCCCACCTTTAAGCTTACACTTCACCTGCAGAATACCTCGACAGCCCGGCCCGTCCTCGGGCTGCTGGTCTGCTTCCTGTACAACGAGGCGCTCTATGCCCTGCCCCGGGCCTTCTTCAAGGTACTTGGCCCACCTCCCTGAGACGTGGAGTGAGAAAGAGGGGGTGGGGCCTAATTAAATGCCCTCAGAGCCTCCACCAGGTCGGAGGTGAGGGCTGGCAGGTGGCTGCAGCCACAGGTCAGGGTAGGGCACCCAGGAGCCTCTGGGGGGAGCACCCAAGACCTGCCTCAGCTGCCTTGCTCCCAGCCTGCTAGAGGTCTCAGGGTCTCACAGCAAGTTCTGGGGGAACAGCCATGCCCGGGTCTCTCCTGTGCCTCTCCCAGAAGCCTTTGGTGCTGGGGGGCCCAGAGCCCACCCTGCTTCACAGCCACTCGGGCAGCAGCTAGGAAGCCTGCCTCTGCCTCCAGGAGGCTTCCAGAGTGAAGGGCCTGGTTTCCCCTGGCATGAGGGTGATTTCCTAACCTCTTCGTCCCCGAACTTAGGTCCCCTTGTTGGTACCAGGGCTCAGCTACCCGCTGGAGACCTTTGTGGAGAGTCTCAGTGACAAGGGCATCTCAGACATTATCAAGGTAGGTCGCCATTGGTGCTGCTTGGGGAGGACAGTGGGGTGCGTGTGGACATGGCCCCCAGGTGGCTGCCGGGTAGGGTGGGTATCTGCACAGTAGAGGCCTCCCAGCCTCCCTGTCCGTTTGACAAAGCCCTGGTGGCCTGTCATTAGGGCCAGTGCAGACTGGGCCAGGCTTGGCCGAGCAGGGTCCACAAAGCCATGCCCCTACTGCCGTGGGCACTTCCTCCGCAGGTGCTGGTGCTTCGAGAAGGTCAGAGTGCACCCCTGCTGAGTGCCCACATCAACATGCCTGTGAGTGAGGGGCTGGCAGCTGCCTGACCCCTGGGCTGGTGTTAAAGCCCCTGTGGAATCAGGACCAAGAAGATCCAGCCCCTTCCACTGAGCTGGGCAGTCAGTGGCCCAGGCCTGACCCTGTGCCGCAGGGTGCTGGGTGACAGCTTCCCTCTTCTCTCCTGAGCTCCCCTTTCTCAGCACCCCGACTGGACTGCTGGGTGACCGATAGCAGCAGGTCAGTGAGTACCCAGGAGGGTCAGCTCCTCTCTTCTCAGGAAGATGCAGGCTCTGGCTCACTGGGCTCCTGCTGCTCCTCCGTCCTCCCTACTTTTCTCCAGAAACCACGCCCGGGTCCAGAGGAAGGGCTCTGAAGTGGTCACCGTGAGATGAGGGACATAGGCCAGCCTTGTGCTTTGCTGCTCCCCCTGGGCACATCGCCCATTGCTGCTGCCAGCCCAGGCCAGAGTTGGGAAGGGCCTGGCCTGGGACAATCAGAGCTTTTCTGGAGTGAGACTGAGCCCCCTGCTGCTCCCTGGGGTCCCAGAGGCTTTGCTGCTGCCAGTCAGCTTGCAAGCAAAACACATGCTCTGATCTCCCCTCATGAGTGACTAAGGGGCCCTTCCTTCTATTCAGAGGGCCCAGAGAATAGCTGCCTCCCCACAGGGGGCTGTTCTGAAATCTTGGGCTCAGTAAAGGTCTCAGGCCTGTGATGCTCCATGCAGAGGGCATAGGGCACAGGGTACCCGTGCAGGGAGCCAGTGGCCCCAGCCCCTACCAGGCTCCTGTAGACCACAGACTGCTCCTGACTGCGATGCTTGGGTCAAGAACAAGCACCTAGAGAGAAAGGCTCAGCTAGACATAGCAGAGAGGGTGTTGGGGGGCATAGCAGGGGCATTTCTGGGGCCCTGGGGAGGTGGCACAGGAGGCAGAAGCCCAGAACTGCCCATCAAGATGTGCTTCTACGCCCTGGAGCCCAGAGCAGTCATGTGAGTGGAATGTTTACCTGACAGTGGCCATAGTGTGCAAGAATTCTGGAAAGATATGGACCAGAGGCTTGAGTGAGGCAGAAGACCGAACAAAGGCACACGCTTAGCCCACAAGGACCAGAGACCCACAGTCCTGGCCCTCAGTGCCTTGGAGCCCTGGCCACTCTGCCTGGCCACCCCATGGCACTCTGGCAGGCCACTTGTGAGCCAGGAGCCCCGCTCCCAGAGGACCTGCATCTCACCCTCTGACCAGGAGCAGACTGGTGTGTGGCGACAGCTCAGGCTTGTGGGAAGTCACCCCATCCCTGGGGACTTCCATTGCCCTTGTATGAAATGAGGCCGTTTGACCAGATTCAGCTTGGCAGCCCTCTAGAGCAAATGAGGGGTCAGCTCCAGAAAAGGGGTACTTGACAGGACTAACTGAGGAGCTTTTTCCCTTGAGACCAAGGGCACTGCCAGGCAACAGTCTCTGTGCCCAACACACAGGGAGGACTGGGATGACAGCCCACAGCCACCCCCTCACCCCTGAGGAATGCATTCTGGGCCAGGTGATGAGAAGCAAGGGGTCTAGACCAAAAAAGAGCCCCTCCCGCTCCCCTCTGTACCGTCCGGCCACACAGACAGACCAACCGAGTGAGGATGGTGAAGGGTTTCTGGGTCAACTGAGGCACAGGTGGAACAAGCAGGAGGTTTAACTTGGAAATGGACAGACAGGTAGAAGGAGTGTCACCATCAGCTAAAGAGACTTCAACTAAACCTGAAGAGCTTTCTGAGAGCGTGTCGGAGAGGGACGGCCTAGGCGCTGTGAGCCCCTTGTCTGGCGCTGTCACCGGGCGGGGCTGTCTATGCAGGTGGTTCTGTTGGGTCAGCTGACTTTACAGTCCCTTTCACCCCAGTCAAGCGATGAACTGTGAACTTGGAATAAAAACATCTGCTCTGGGTTCTCTTCAAAGCTATTCATGATGATGAAAGCGGAGAAACGGCTCCTGTGCCCAGCAACTGATGTTAACTTACGTGACGTAATACCACGTACTGTTACTGAAAAACACACCACTGCGGTCGTGTGGACAGTGTACATGCAGCTACATGAAGCAGGAAACAGTGCCCAGTGCCCAGTGCCCTCGCTGGTTAGAACTCCAGGACATGGTACACATGAAGGATGAGAGTTTGTGTCTTTAAAAAAAAACTTATCTAAATACTTATCTAAAAACATTGACCTATTAGTAGTGTGGAATTAGACCATACGAAGAAAAGAGCCTCTCCCAGTCCCCAGTCCTGCCCCGCTGCTAGTCAGTCAGTTACCTTAGTGTCCATTTTTGTACAAGACCATGCTTTCACTGGTCTTGCTCAATTTATCAGTCTCAGATGCTCTCTGTTGGCCCTGTCATAACATGAAGCTGTAGCTCTCCTATGACAGCACCCCGTCCCTTCCTTGTCTCCCCAGTTTTTAGGTAAATCAATATTCGGTTTGGATTACAATTCAATGACGTGACAGTTACTGCGAGCCAAGAATTGGGCTATAATTACATTTATTTGTGGGTACTTTGTTATTTTTCATGGAATTATTAATTACCGTTTTTGTTTTATTTTTCATTTGCTTAGTTTTCTGTGTATGCCAGTTGCTAATTCTTCCCCCACTGGGTCTGACAGCTCTTTTTTCTGGACACTTGCCTTCATCCCTCGCCGCAGGGAGGACCGTGAGTGCCCTGGAGCCCTAGAGCGGCTGCGCAGCACATGGCCTGGGTTCCCTGTCGTGTGCTGGGCTCGCGCCCCTGATCCTGGGCCCCGCGTCGTCCTCCTCCATCATTCTGCACCCCTCATTTGGTGAAGCATAGCCACGGGTACCTTTTTCAAGTCACTAGAGTTAATTTAAAAAAAATTTTTTTTTTCTTTATTGATTTTAGAGAGAAAGGGAGAGGGAGAGATAGAAACATCGATGAGAGAAAATAGTGGGCCACCTCCTGCATGCCCCCCACTGGGGATCAGGCCCACAACCTGGGCATGTACCCTGACCCGGAATCGAACTGGCGACCTCTTGGTGCATTGGTCGATGCTCAACCACTGAGCCACACCAGTCAGGCTAGAGTTAACATTTTTAAGGCAGCATTTGTCTGAAATTTTCTTTATTTAATTCATACATGTATGTGATAGTTTGGGTCATAAAATTTGAAGTTGAAAATCATTTGCATGCAGTGCTCCCTTACATTTTTACCTTCGATGATGCTATTGAGACGTTCCATGCTCTGTTTGCTCCTGACCTCCTTTCTCTGAGGCCCTGAATGTCAGGACACACCTTACTGTGTGTCTTGGTGTGCTGTGGGTGGAGGTGCACGTTTGGAAAATTTCCTCCCCATTTCTCTCTTCTCTCCGGAATTCTGAGTAAGCCCAGCATCTGATAAATCCAGAGAGAACAGGGCTGATCCTCTGATTTTCTTCTTTCATGTTGTCTTTTTGTTCTATTTTTTGAGAGATTTTTTATCTTCCAGCTCTCTGAAATCATTTTTAAAATGCTATTATTTTCATTCTCAACTCTTTGTTGTCTGTTCAATCTTTTTTTTTTTTTTATTCTCACCCGAGGATACTTTTCCATTTTTTGTACAGATAGAGTGGGAGGGAGAGAGAGAGAGAAACATTGACGTGAAGGGACACATCGAGTGGCTGCCACCCGCACGACCAACCAGGGCCGGGGACAAATTGCAACCGAGGTACATGCCCTTAGCGGGAACCGAACCCGGGTCTCTCCGGACCGCAGGCCGACGCTCTAACCGCTGAGCCAAACTGGCCAGGGCATGTCTGTTCAATCTTTAACTGTGGTGTTTTTTCAAGGACACAGTTGAGCTCGACAACACCATAATCAACTGGATTAATTGACACCTGTAGCCTCCTTCAACAGTAGTGGAATGCACATTTTTCTGAAGCCCACATGGGACATTTACCAAGATAAGACCACATTCTGAGCGGGAACCGAACCCGGGTCTCTGGACCACATAACCTGTGGTATATTCAAAGGGTCACTGTACAGCAAGGAGAAGGAATGCCCTGCACACACTCGTTTAGACACATCTCAGAAACACTGAGTGAAGAAGCGAATCACAGAAGAATAGACACAGTATGATTCCATTTATATAAAATTCAAAAACATGCCAACCAATACAAACATGGGATAAAATTTTAAAGCAAAGCCAGAGGATGACTAAGAGCAGTGTGTCTACCAGGGAGGGACACAAAGGAAATGGTATCCATTTCTAAGTGGGGTGGGAGGGTGTTTGTCTTTCCTTTATAAATATTTTCTTGCATCTCCTTTTTAACTAAAAATTTTAAAAAGAAAAGATATTCTGGGGGTGGGGGGGTAGAGCAAAGGAGGAAACAGGCCGTCTGCCAATGCTTATGTACAGAACAAAGTGCCAGGCACACCACATTCCTAACAGAGTTAAAAAATAGTAATGGAGCATGGCTTTGGGGGTAAAAAAAATCCTAGCAGCTCAAACCTTGATGCGCACAGGCAGGGCCTGCCAGAAGGGTGGCCTTCTGAGGGTTCTTGGCTAAGGCTGCCATGTCACTGGAGGACACCCTCCCAAGCAGCATCTGTGGACTCAACCCCGCTTTTGGTCCTACCCCTCATTCCTACTGTCCCCAGTACTCCTGAGACCCAAAGCTTCTTTGAACAGCCCCCTCCTCCACCCAGAGGGATAGCTGCTTGGCTATGAGGAGTGGGGGGTGGTGCTGGGGAGAGGGGCATCCTAGCTGCTGCTCATATAGACTTTGGGTCAGTCCCTACTGTGTCAGCCCCAAACCTTGCCTTCCATGTTGCTCATGGAATTCCTGAGCATCTCCAGGGTTTTGGGGGGCAATTTGGCTGCCTGTTGGCCCCTCCCTCTAGGAACACAATTTCACCTTCGACTTCTCTGCTAAGAGAGTAAATGAGCCTCCATCCACTTTCCACCTTTCAAAACACCAGGTTCTTTGGTCTACTGCTGTTTCCCTCATTCCTATTTTCTTTCTCCTTTTAAACATCTTTTTTATTTATTTACTGTCATTTTAGATTTTAAGAGGAAACAGGTAAATTCATGTGCTTAAACCTGCCACATTTAACTATAGTTAGTAGATTTAAATAAAAATGTTTAACAGGCCCTGGCCGGTTTGACTCAGCAGTTAGGGCGACGGCCTGTGGACCAATGAGTCTCAGGTTTGATTCTGGTCAAGGGCACGTACCTCGGTTGCAGTTCATAACGGCCCTCGTCAGGGTCATGCAGGAGGCAACCAATCGATGTAGCTCTTTCAAACTGTTTCTCTCTCTCCTCCTCCTCCCTCCCACTCTATCTGAAGATAAATAAAAAAAATCCTCAGGTGAGGATTAAAAAGAAGTTAACAGGTAGCTCCTGAACAGCCCGGAGGAGCGTAGCCCTGTCAGCACCGCCCATCACAGATGCTTGAACACCCCACCTGACTTCTCTGCTTTGACTGTCCCGCTCTTCTTCCTTCAGCTGTGCAAGAGTAAAGGAAACAGCACAAAGATCTGGGTTCAGATCCTGACTCCTCCATTTACTACCCCATGACCTTATCATATCAACTTTCATAGCTCTGAGTTTTACCTACGTAATTGCTGCCCAGTGTACCAGGTTAGCTAGAAATCATTGTGGAGGTGCTTCTAACTCAAGCACTGAACCTGGGAAAGTTTTAGATGCTCGTGCCCTGGATCACTACATGCTGCCTTGGCCTGCTGGTGCCCCCACCCCCGCCCCACCAAGGCCACAGGAGGCAGAGCCCTAGCTCTCACAGGCTCAGGCATTCTGTGGCTCCCAGACGTGACAATCAGAGGAACCTGAAACAGCAGCCAGGCAACAGTGAGGGACCAGAAACCCGCAAAGGTGGAGGGAGACCAAGAACCAAGTGGGCACTTTATTAACTTGGCAAAGGGGCAGTTAGGTTGGCCAAGCAGCCCCTTGCCAGACCCTCCACTGCACTCAAGGGCCACTGAGAGAGGAAGAATTGCAGGCCAAGCCCTAAATACTGAGTCCAAGCTGGGCAAGGCCAAGGCCAAGATGGGTCTGGAGTTGCCGAAAGCAGTTAAGTACCAACCTGCCTTCCTGCTCCTGAGGCCGGGGCTGGGCCTAAAATAAATTATGAGCCCCCTCTCCTGCTCCCCACTCCGTGTACAGCTTGGCTCTTCCAGGAGTCAGGAAGCCATGAGTCCCACATCAGCTGTGGTCTGGAAGGTGATCCCATCCCCAGGCAACGGGGAGGCCAGGAAGGGCCAAAGCCAGACAAGGATCCAGCGGGGCCCCAGGGCCGCCTGCAGGTTGTGGCAGGGGCCTAGGTCATAAGAGTGCTGGCCCCGAGCCCACTCCCATGTGGTCTGGCCCCGAAGCAGCAGCATCCCATGGAAGAGCAGCCCGGCCACGCACAACAGCGCACCCGCCACACACGTGTCGGTCACGAAGGCCAGTGTGAACTGCGCCAGAGACACTCTGCCTGCGAGGAGAGAGCAGAGAGGGTCAGGGGCAGCAGCAGGCGCAGTTCCCAAAGCCCTACCCTCCACCATGAGGCAGAGCTCATCCCTCTCCCAGCGAACACTGAGTCTGCTCCCTGCCAGCCCCTGCTGGGTGAACCAGGCAGACACAGCCCCTGCCTTACGCATGACTCATTTATGCATCACAAACTTGTGAGCACTTCCCATGTGCTGGACACGGTGCCAGGGACCATGAATACCATAATGAATGGTAGATAGCACCTCTGACCTCAGGGAGCTCACAGACATTCACGAGAACCCTTCTCAG